CCCCCCCCCCCGAAAAAGAGCCCTTATTTTAATACAAATTTCCATTTAATTGGTACCCATAAAACTCCTAAATTTCTTTGGTATTTATCATTATCATTTATTTAAGTCGGCATTTTCCCTCTTAGAAATTTACTTGTTACATAGCTGTATACGTTTATCGCCGTGATCAGTGGCGGGTCCAGGGGGAAAAAAAAAAGGAAAAAAAAGAAGGAAAAAAAAGGGGAAAGATTTTTTTTTTTTGGCTGTTGAAAAAAAAGTGTTCCAATCCCACTTGTATCACAGAGAAACAACAGTTTAAGCTAAGTCTAGCTTTAACGTTGTTATTAAAATGTAGAGTACAGCCCTTGGCCTTAGGCCTAATTTAGGTCGTAACTGTTACTGTTTGAAAATCTAAAGTACACTGTTGCTCATAACGGTGGAATATTTTTTTTTATCCCAATTTATGGAATTATTTTAAAAATAATTTAAAAATACTAGATCTAGATAAAAGTATACAGTCTCAGATTTTATTGAATAATAATTTGCCAATAATTTGCCAACATAAATTTAAAAAAAAACAGAAAATGCAATAAATTTTCAATAATTTATTGCATTCTACCCCGGTCCCCAACATAAACAAATCTTCTGTGTGCCCATGCCTTGAGCCATAATGCATGGCCGTCCAGAGAATTTTTTTATGTTGGGGACCGGGGTAGAATGCAATAAATTATTGAATATTTATTGCATTTTTTTTTTTTTTTTAATTTATGGAAACTGCCCCCTACCCTAGCCCCCGCTGCGTACAGTCATGGTTCAGTGACAAAGCAATGGCCTCGTAACTGTGAGGCCCCAGGATCAACACCGTGTCGATGTGCTATATTAGTGCCCTTTTGTGAGGCATTAATCCTCATTACTGTCATTTATGACTTAAGGGCATAGGTCCCCTAGTTGATTAACATAGTAGCATAATATACATGCTTTAGCAGTCACGCAAAACACATATTGGCAAATTATTATTCAATAAAATCTGAGACTGTATACTATTATCTAGATCTAGTATTTTAAAATTATTTTTAAAATAATTCCATAAATTGGGATAAAAAAAAATATTCCACCGTTATGAGCAACAGTGTAAAATTAGACGGTTTTCATGGTTATAGACCTAGTAATTGAGAAACAAAAAGTTTACCCGTCACTAAGACCAGGTCAATAAATCTTCTAGATCCATTATTAGGGTCTAACGTTAGTAGATATAATGTAGATGCAGGCGCGGATCCAGCGGGGGTGAGCGGGCCTTCCCCCCCCCCCCCTTCCGCAAAAGAGAGAGAGAGAGAGAGAGAGAAAGAGAGAGAGAGAAGGAAAAGAAGGGAAAGGGAAAGAGCAGAGAAAGGGAAAGAAAGAAGAGGAAGAAGAAAAGAAAAGGGGGAAGAAGGAGATCGGGGAGTGCGAAAGGGCCTTGCCTCCCAGGCTGTTGCCTCCCCCCCCCCCCCCCCCGCCCCCGCTAAAAAAGAGAGAGAAGGAAGGAAAAGGAAAAAAGGAGAGCTAAAAGGGACCAAAAAAGAGGAAGAAGAAAAAAAAGGGTGAAAAGAATTTCGATGCGGTGTTCGAGTAGAATTCTGTGAGATGATGATATACTTTCTCGTAGCTTGATGTGACGAGATGTCTCTATCCAGATATCTCTTCATAGTATTATAGAATATAGAAGCCTGAAATGACCTTCTGCTCGTAACCGACAAGTCACCGCATTAAAATTAAATTGCAAATAGTGTTCAACAACACGATGGTGGATGAAACTTTCTAATATTCGAAGATATATGACCTTCAGACCATATTGTTTCATTATTTTTTATTCAATCAATCAACGTCAAATAATTGATTTATCATCGCTCTTCAATTTATTATTTCACCTTTTAATGTACTTTCATTCTTATGAATCACGAAAGAACACTGAATTGGATTCTTCAATGTTTGTTTTGATTAATTTCCTCCCCTTTCCTTCTCCCTGTTTAATACTGATAAAATTTCAATTTTTCTTAATCAAGGCAAAATATTATTTTCATATTTTCTTTATGCAAGACAGGAAGAGAGAGAGAGAGAGAGAGAATATGTTAAGTGAGAATTATCGAGTACAACTATGAATTGCATCCTTTTCAATATTATTCAATTCGCTGAAAATATTCAGAATATGAATATAATAAATCCTCATAAAACACCAACGCTGTTCAACGCATCCAACGCTCCAACCATAGCCCATACGCCAATGCACCATATTTCTCAATATGAAAAGATTTTTTAATGAAATTTAACGAAAAATAAAATTTAAAATGCACTGACAGGCATCAGTTGAAATCATGAATTCTCTGTGACTGGCTTAACACTAGTTTCTGAGGGACCAGTCACTAAAGAGGAAATAAAGGGAAGGAAAATTGAGAAAGAAGTAAATAAAAGAAGGGGGATATCAGTTGCAATTTTCCCGCCAACAAGTTGCGGATCGGGATGGGGGTGGGGCAAAAGGCCTTTGCCTCCCCCGCCCCCGCTAAAAAAAAGAGAGAGGGAAGGAAGAGAAAGGAAAGGGAAAGAGGAGAGAAAGGGAAAGTAAAAAAAAAGAAAGAAAAAACGTAGGGGAGATCAGTTGCCAACAAAGTGAAAATCAGGGGGGGGGGGGGCACTGGCGTATTGATTGGGGAGGGGGCTCGGGGGAAATAAAATTCAAATGTGGTTTATTTCTAATTCCATAACGGTGGTTTACACATAATGCTGAAATGACATAATTTTCCGAGATTTTTTAGTAAATTATACTTTTTTATGCGTTTGTTGTAAAATGACACATTCCTAAATCTACAGCCAGGCAAGAAATATGCTTCATGAGTTGCCTAGGGGCCTACACGTCAGGGCCCGCGGAACGGCGGGGATCGGGAGCCTTGATGTCCCTCCCCCCTCCCTCTCCACTTGTTTTGAAATAGTATATAAAGAGAAATGGAAAGAAAGAGAGCAAGTAAGAAAAAATAGTTAACTGCCAGTGTCACAACAAAATAAGGTATTAACCGTAATTAAACGCCTAAAATCCCTGAGCTTCCGGGGCTCTGGCCCTGGACCCAACCGAGGGCCCTAAGTCGGGCCCCTTGATACTCAGCTGACCGTAATTTAGTGCCTAAAACCCTTGAGCCGAGTCGAGAACGGTACAGCGAGTCGTCTTCTTTCTTTAATAATTTTAATGAAACGTCAAAGCTTTCGCGCTTCGCGCGAGAGGGGGGGGGGGGTGGAAAAAATTAAGAATCGAGAATGGTACAACGAATCGTCTTCTTTCTCTAATACTTTACTGAAACGCCAAAGCTTCCGCGCTTCGTGCAAGAGGGGGTGGGGCTGGCTTCAGACAAGGATTAAGAGTCGAGAACGGTACAACGAATCGTCTTCTTTCTCTAATGATTTAATGAAACGTAAAAGCTTCCGCGCTTCGCGCGGCAGGGGGGGGGGGGAAACTGAATTCAGACGAAGTTTATGAGTCTAGAACGGGCAACGAATCGCCTTCTTTCTCTTATGATTTAATGAAACGTAAAAGCTTCCACGCTTCGCGCGGCAGGGGGGGGGGGGAAACTGAATTCAGACGAGTATTATTTTCGAGAACGGTACAACGAAACGTCTTATTTCTCTAATAATTCAACGAAACGTCAAAGCTTCCGCAAATCGCGCTCGAGGGGGAAACTGAATTCAGACGAAGTTTATGAATCTAGAACGGGCAACGAATCGCCTTCTTTCTCTAATGATTTAATGAAACGTAAAAGCTTCCGCGCTTCGTACGGCAGGGGGGGGGGGGAACTGAATTCAGACGAGGATTATTTTCGAGAACGGTACAACGAATCGTCTTCTTTCTCTAATACTGTAATGAAACGTCAAAGCTTCCGCGCTTCGTGCAAGGGGGGGGTAAACTGAATTCAGACGAGGATTATTTTCGAGAACGGGCAACGAATCGCCTTCTTTCACTAATGATTTAATGAAACGTCAAAGCTTCGGCGCTTTGCGGAGGAGGGAGTGGGAAAATCGCCCCTCCCTGCACCCCCCCCCCCCCATTTCGTCAATGCTGGTCACCATTACGTACCAATATTTGGCTCGCATAATTTCAAATTTGCCCCCCCCCCCCCCCCCACCTGAGTAATCCTGGATCCGCGCCTGCCCGTGATGACATTCTCTCCATTTCTTCCCGTTCTGCACATAATGTCCTCCTCATTATTCGGAGCAACCTTATTTACATTCTTTCTTTCCTTTTAGTTTTTACCATATCCTTCCAAAACACAGGGGCGGATCTAGCTTTTTGCTAAGGGTGGGGGGGGGGGTAACCAAATACGATGTGGAGCGTCGTCCACGAGCCGCGAAGCACCGTTAGTGATGTTTTCCTGGCATCTACTGAAATCTACTACTACTGTGTAGGTCTGGACACATGATAGCATTTTTCTATGCACATCACATTTCCACTTGGCAGCCCAAGGGGGATCGGGGGATTAAACCCCCTTAAATGCCTAGATCCACCTCTGCAACATCTTTGCTGATCTTCTTCTCAATATTGATTTATTGATCGAGTTACATTATTTGCTGGTCTTTTAGAACAACCAGATTTCAGAGGATTCACACTTTTCACAACGAAAAACTTCTCCATGTTTCAGTCCTTGCGCGATCGTCTCCAGCTCGGGCAGATATTGGGCGTCAGCGTGCAGCACCGGTACGTACTACCGGCGCAGTATGACGGCCGCATTAGCTGTGCACTGCGAGCTTCCGTTGTTTGTATCGGTAATACTCATAGAGATGGGAGGGAAAGCGTCATCTAAGTTCCATTTCATTGGTTTAAGGTTTGAAAATTGATACTCAATATTGTGTTAAAGTTATATAAGAAAAGATAATCTTTTTTTAATATAATTCCACGGGGGCGATTTTTTATTTTGCAATCGCCCCAGTGGGTAACCTGTCGGGGGCGATTATGGAGCTCACGGGGGCGAATCGCCCATCGCCCCCGTGTATTTTGAGCGCTGGTCGTCATCCTTCTCCTCCACCTGACTGGAATTCCTTATTTATTTTGGTAATCGTCACCGCATATTCGGGCAGCAATATGGTATAATCATTTTTTCATGGAAGTATTACTCTGACATTTGGATGATGGGGAATTCGTAAACGTTTCTAAAAACTGTGTTTACTGTTGCACGTAATTACCTCATGTGTTTTCATATTTGTAACTTTAATTAAGTATCTTTCTCCTTATTTGTCAACATATTAGCTCCTTTTGTAACACTCGTCCTGCAGAAGATCAACCATCGTCTTGTCGCTATGTTAGGCGGAGTGTTGTGTGGATCATGTATTATTGCCAGCGCTTTCTTCAAAAACTCAGTTACTGTAGGAGTCTGTCTCGCTTTATCAGGTAAGCTAAACATATGTTAGTTTAGCTAGTATGTAATCGAACATTTCATTATGTAGCTCATTTTGCACTCTACACGGTAGATAGAGAACCATACATACGCAAGCTTATGAAGGCGAAATTGGTATAACGCTTATACCATTTAGTGCTCTCTAGATTTGTATAACGCTTATAAAATTTAGTGCTCTGTAGTATACAAATATACACTGTCTTGAGAGGTTCTGGTTAAAACTATGTGCAAGAGGTGACTCCAATAGTTCTATTTGCTGAGGGGGCGCATCAACAATTTTTTTTTTTTTTTTTTTTTTTTTAATCCTATTTTGGGGGATTTTTTTTTTTTTAGAATTAAAAAAAAAATGTCAATTTTTATCAAAAACAGTTTAAAACATAAGAATTGATTTTTTTTTTTTAAATCACAAGTTTTTTCAACTCCCAATTAGTACTCCCAAATAATACTTTTTTAAAGCAACCTAAAAATAGATGAAATATTCCTGGTCATGTGACGAGCTCTCAACCAATCAAAAGCCAATCAATTTGTGATGCTTGATATAAATGGTATAACGCTTATACTTTTTAGTGCTGTGTAGATTGGTATAACGCTTACTGGTATACTTGTTAGTGCTCTGTAGATTGGTATAACGCTTATACCATTTAGTGCTCTGTAGATTGGTATAACGCTTATACTTTTTAGTGCTCTGTAGATTGGTATAACGCTTATACTTTTTAGTGCTCTGTAGATTGGTATAACGCTTATACCATTTAGTGCTCTGTAGATTGGTATAACGCTTATACTTTTTAGTGCTCTGTAGATTGGTATAACGCTTATACCATTTAGTGCTCTGTAGATTGGTATAACGATTATACTTTTTAGTGCTCTGTAGATTGGTATAACGCTTACTGGTATACTTTTTAGTGCACTATAGATTGGTATAACGCTTATACCATTTAGTGCTCTGTAGATTGGTATAACGCTTATACTTTTTAGTGCTCTGTAGATTGGTATAACGCTTATACTTTTTAGTGCTCTGTAGATTGGTATAACGCTTATACTTTTTAGTGCTCTGTAGATTGGTATAACGCTTATACTTTTTAGTGCTCTGTAGATTGGTATAACGCTTATACCATTTAGTGCTCTGTAGATTGGTATAACGCTTATACTTTTTAGTGCTCTGTAGATTGGTATAACGCTTATACCATTTAGTGCTCTGTAGATTGGTATAACGATTATACTTTTTAGTGCTCTGTAGATTGGTATAACGCTTACTGGTATACTTTTTAGTGCACTGTAGATTGGTATAACGCTTATACCATTTAGTGCTCTGTAGATTGGTATAACGCTTATACTTTTTAGTGCTCTGTAGATTGGTATAACGCTTATACTTTTTAGTGCTCTGTAGATTGGTATAACGCTTATACTTTTTAGTGCTCTGTAGATTGGTATAACGCTTATACCATTTAGTGCTCTGTAGATTGGTATAACGATTATACTTTTTAGTGCTCTGTAGATTGATATAACGCTTACTGGTATACTTTTTAGTGCACTGTAGATTGGTATAACGCTTATACCATTTAGTGCTCTGTAGATTGGTATAACGCTTATACCATTTGGTTCTCATGTGTATACTTTGTATGGTTTAGGTATTTTATCTACCTTTTTTTATTTCTTATTATTTTGATAACTATTGAATACTGTCCAAAGGATTAAATATAACATTTTTGATTATGTTAACTGTCAATTGGTGTTTTAAACAATAACATAAAAATCAAATGTACCACATGGTGCATAATAAATACAGTTTTCTGGTCTGTTAATCGCTTCATGTTTTAAGACGAGGTACATGGAAAGAGAGTGAATGCATGGTCATTAAGAGAAATATCATTTTGTTCTTACACAAGATAGGAAATAAAAAGAAACAAATACCATAGTTCCTAACAATTTATGACAGAGATTTCTGACTTTATGGTTTAGAAAGGGCTTAATAAAAAAAAAGCATTAAAAAGCATTTTCTGTATTTTGTTACAGTCCATAAACGAAGAAATACTCCAGAATGGAAAAAATTCTGTTAGTGGTAGGTGTAGCAGTTTAATTACTACAAGACAAGACTCTTGAATGTCAGCTGGGGGGGGGGGACCATATTATTAAAATATGTATAGAGACACAACGCCAGAGGATTGACAGAACGCCGCCTTCATTTCGGTGGTCATAGTGGAGAAGCAAGAGTGAAATGATTTTACAAATGCTCTTCTGGCAGCCTTTAAGAAACAAACGGGCCAGAGGTTAAACAGCAGTTAGAACAAAAAAAGAACTTGTCTTCCAAGGGCAGGCCACTCCTAGAGATCATGGAGACTAGAACTAAATGGGAATGGAGCATGGTGCGAGTCCGTTTATTTTTTTAGTAATAGTCATTATTTTCATCCTTTCTTTTTTTTTCCGCAGGTGTTGGCTTGTCAATGACCTACATGCCCATGGTGATTGCACTGAATGATTTCTTCAGAGAAAAATTCGTTTTGATGAACACAATCACGCTGTACGGCTACACCGCTGGATCCATGCTGCTCCCTATTGTAATGGAAAGGTCATTCGAAGCATATGGCTATGTAGGGGCTTTTATTATCCTTGGCGGTATTGCTTTTAACCTTGTCGTGTGCGGTGCAATGATACAAAAGGCACCAAGAAACGCAGCTACAAATGAAGGCAAAAGTTATAATAAAGTGAATGAGAAACAGAAGTGTCTCTCTGAAGGAGAATCCTCGAAGCAAGCAGAAAGCATCCGTTATCATGAGGAGGAGGAGGAAGAGGAAAAGGAGGAGCATGAGGAGGAGGAAGAGGATAGTGAAGAGTGTGTCTTGGAGGAAAGGCGTTTGATTCAAAACGAGAGACGTAACATCAATAAACAGGAAACATCTCCGAATGCGCGCTCATCTTTTACAAGCTCCGTCTTTCAAACCGGCAAACGGTCCTGTGGACTTTTAAACGAACCACTGTTTCTCTTCACCATTCCGATTCATTTCTTGTTCATGTTCTCCATTTATGCGTGGATGCTGTTTCTGGTACCTCACGCTGAACACCTGGGAATCCCTCCTTTCAAAGCAATCTTCCTCTCTACAATTGGTGGCATAGGTGGCATCATCGGTCGGACCATCTTCATCATCTTCGTCGGCAAAGGCATCAATGTTTATGTCGTCTACATCGCCATCGGCCTCATCTGCATGGCATCATTTCTGCTGGACTTTATCAGTTCTGCTTACGCGGTGCGTGCTACATTGGCTTTTGTCCAAGGTTTCACCTTCTTCATCGAGGATGCTATTGCGGCCAGTTTATTTAAAGATACAGTCTTTGACGATCGGAATTTTAACATGGCCGTGGCTGTCAGTTTATTCGCGGAAGGACTAGGGGCGACATGTGCAGGAACAATTACAGGTGAGTAATTCATAGCCAGCTTCTTCAAACATGATGAACCTTTGAGAAATCAACTTAAGTTCAATACCCCATGTATTGCCAGTATAAATTATTTTTCGGATTATGGATTGACAACATCAATGCTTGGACCAGGCTCCTTTTCGAGCAGCTAAATAGAAAAATTGAACACAGAAAGTTATGGAGAAACCAGTGTCTCAAGTTCAATTTCCTTGTCGCTCCACGGCTTTTAAGTTAAGAGACACATCTAATCAGGCCTATACTCACATATTTCAAAAGATGACGAACGAGTGTAGTTTAAATTGCTTTAACTTGATTTCCTCGAAGGTCTTGGTAATCATGTGATCGGATTGATAAGTCTTAAATCCATGTTTAGTAGTATTCTTTAGTCACTATCATTCAACAGGCAGGGCGCGTTCATGCTTGATTTTGACGGCCAGAATCAGGCATCTGTTACGCGTTTAGTTTAAAACACGATTGCGTTTATGCTCACTTTTGTAGAATCACCGAAAAACGGCGATCACGATCGCCGATCGTAAACTCACAAAAAGATGCGTTTACAATTTGTAAACGCGTTTAAATGGGGTCAACCCACTGACCTATAGTGGGTCTACGTAGCATGCGCACACAGGTTTGCGAATCCAGCTCAAGGCCACCCAAGGAGAATTGCCTGGAGAAGTGAGCATGAACAGTGCACCGTGGAACTGCGATTACGATGAGCGTTTACGATGAGCGTTACAAATCGCGCGTTCAAGCATGAACGCGCGTGAGTTTAGGTGACGAGAGATAGCTATCGACGGCGCTTCTGTATACGAGTCATAGCTAGTTGACAGAGAAAGATGCGTCTATGGAAGTTGCTCCTGCTTAGTCAGGCAAATCATGTAGCCTCAAACAGTTCGAACTCTTTAACAAATATCTTTTAAGAGTTTCATTATTTAAGCCATGATCGCGCCCCATATACGCATGTCTACATAGGTTATGGCCAAAACTGTGTCTTAATACGGTTTGCAATTTGAACATTACAAATCCTGGTCAAATACCTCTAATTCTGGTATGATCATTTCCTAGGTTATCTGTTTGATGTCACCCAGTCGTTCACGAAGGTGTTCATCATCGTTGGCTTCATCCACGCCGTCATGGTCGTTCATCTCTTCGTTGTATCGATCCTCATCAAGAGACGACGACAACATGTCAGCTGTAATTTTGACCACTGAGGATTAAGAGGTTGAAGCAGAAACGTCCCCATAATATCCTCCTACCTTTTGAAATCTTTCGTTGATACCGAACAACCTATTACTATCATGACATTGGTTAGTAATGGCTAACCCTTACAAAAAAGTACCATGGTAACGATGGTTTTTTTTGTCCAAATTACAAATTCAATTTCAAATTCGCCGAGATCCCATGTAATACACGCGTTTCCATCGGATAATAGTGATCTTGTACGACGGTTTTGTGAAACGTTGACCTGTATTTTTACTATTGTTATAGCATGGTTAAAAATACAATAAATGTAACGTTATCAGGCGCGTACGCAGGATTTTTTCAAGGGGGGGGGGGGGTAACATTTATAAATCGGACCAAAAATTTCGCAAAATTTCGTCTATACACCGTCCACAGTCAGTTTAAATCAAGTTCAGATCGGGTAAATTTGCCATTTCCAAGACATGGACGTATTGGGGACTGTTTATGAACGAGCTAGGGTCGTATTATAGACATTATTTACAAATTCTACTCCGACCACAACCCGTTTTACGATTTTCTGGGACGGTTCCAAAACGTAGTGAGAACTAGTTTGGTGTGATGGGGGCTTAACTAAAACATGGAAAACAAAATTCAACATAAGGGCAATACAGCAACGACAACAAAACGAGAATAAAAGAAGGCGAAATAGCAGCAGGCGTAATAAAAGATGGCGAAAATGAAGAGGTTTTATGGAGGTCACCAAACCTGCTATTTGACTGATGATATTTGAAGATGAATCATTGATATGATAACACGGGAATATGCATATCTAGAAAGTTTAATTTTGTAAACATATCAAAATCACAGTTTTTTGCACCTGAGAATTGAAGACTCATGATTATCTTAGAAATTCAGTGCTAAAGAATATACCTTAAGTAGGTCATCACTGTAATTCAGTCATTGGAAGGTAACTTATTTGAATATTAATTTATATGTTTTAATTTTTTTGTAAATATTTTTCATTCTTCTGTACATTATAATTTTCCACTAGGCATATTTTGTGTTTTTCTTTAGTATAGTATTGTTTGTATTGATTGTTATCCATGCAACTGTAGATACAACCCTGTTTAAATCATATGGACCATCTCCTTTAAAGTCCAAGGAAGATTCCGCCAAAATGCGTGGATACGCCACAGATTTTCCAAACGAAGAATCCAAAGTTTAACCGTAAAGTACATATACTGTACGTATATTCGAGTTTTAATTGTAATTCGATATGTTGACAAAGCCTTGTATTCGTAAAAGCGATAGGTGAGCACTCATTTTTTTTTTGACCTCGGAAAGTTGAGAATCGCGCCCGCCGATATTTCGCTCAACATCCCCCCCCCTTCAGCCCCCAAAAAGTAAATTTCTGGTCACAATTTTTTAGGGGGGCCTTTTTTGGGGGGGGGGCAGGGGGCAGGCCCGCTTGGCCCCCTGAATCCGCGTCTGGTTGACACAGCCTTGTATTCGTAAACGCGGTAGGTTTAACTTGAGTTATTCTTATCAGTAATCGACGTTGTATATAAAGTGTCTATCATTTTCCTAATCCTGTATAATCCACCACAATTCTGTATACAAATGAGTGAACTCCTAACAAGAAATAAACGAATATATAAGTAAATGAATATTTGGACGTGTTTTTGCAAACGGTGCATACTGTCACGGTCACGACAGATTGAACATACTCCTAGGATTATTTAGACTCCTGCGCTGGCATTCTAATCAGCAAGCAGAAATTTGTTTTTCTTCTTCCACTTTTATGATACCACATTTGTAATGATAGAGCTTGTGATCATCGAACTGTAACTAGATATATCAATGTTGATAATAATAACAATGCAAAAGTCGATCTGCTTATGAGATTGGGAATTATTTATCAATGCAATGAATGACCGTTCGTTGAACCTCTCTTTAAAGCGCTTAGACACATCGTTGTATCGACGTATTTGGCGTTATTTAAAAGCGGAATATTATTATTATTATTATTTACCATATTGTCCTGTCCATTGAAATGATCAAATTGTAAATATCATTGAGTCTATGGATTTTTGAAAGATGGATAAATGTAAAACATGAAACATCAGTTATTCCTTTTGATTAACTTAATATTTCATTTATTTTATTGCATAATACTTAGACCTAATGACATTATTCATTCTGTACGTGAACTACCATTGCCATTGCCAGGAAACTGTAAATAGATCTGTGCTTTCATGCATAGCCCTTTTTAGTATCATGTGAGAGAGGATCAATTCATCTTTGACAGAACAACAACAATTCATCAGAACATAATACTTCTTTGTTTGTAGTCATCGATTTGAAAGTCGGGTTTCGTTTCTTATAGAACACTTTAGTACCTGGGAGATTTCATGTCGGAGGTCAATTACTTTTCGCGTCTGTTACAGCCGTATTTTGAAAGAGTAGAACTCACGCACGAAAATTGTTTGTTTATAGATATTATTTGTATGGGTTGTTAGAACGTCTTTAAGAGAAAGGAGCTTTGAACAATAGACGATCGACACCTCCGACCTTTAGAAAAGTTGTTAGCAGGCCAGCGTGAACAGTATGTCAGAGTTCTTGAATGTCGGTCTCACCGGCCCTCAGACAACTTGTCAGAATGCCCGTCAGTGCGACATTGTCGGTGTGGTGGATGATTGTGGGTCTCGTAGAGCCGTCCGTCTCGTGGGTTGTCGTCTCGAACGGCTAGCCGTCTCGTGGATCGTATAGCCGTTGGCAAGGTGATATGCTTTGAGCTGGTCGATCAAACACATACTAAATCCAAGACTGAAAATTGTTAACAATAGTTGAAAGACCGAGATTTATGAGTTTGGCCTACTGGCGAAGAGAAGTTTTTGAATTCAAAATAAGCATGTGGAAGCTAAATTAATTTCTAATTAAAGTCACAATGTAGTTCAAAATAATTCGTGTGACACAGGGACAATCCGATTTTGATGTACTTTAAAGGCCCTTCCAATTTGCGATCACTGTAAATACTCGAAATGTCATATTATGTATGTGTTGACATACAAACAGCTGTTCTTGTTGCTGTAAAATCAAGTTGAAGACATCGTAAAGATGATAGTTCAAGTTAAATGTTATTTTAATGTATTCGTGTTATTGTTGATTATTGTATTGCCTGTAATTATTTTCAGTGTGAGTAGTTTCAATTTAAATAAAAGAGTAATCTTATACTCGTGCGACACGTCTTTATCATTCAAGAGCTTTGCCTCCATCTTTCTATCTCTCCTTCCGTCCTCCTCCTATTAAAGTATGTCCGTCTCCACCTGTCTGAATTTTGCTCTCTCAATCTCTTCTTTCTGTCTCTGTCTGTCTCCCCCTCTCTCTCTTACACACACACGCACACTTACACGATTGGCACATTCATTTTTCACTGACTCACTGAATTTCATGAGCAGATTTGACACAAGAAAGTCATTATTACACATTTCTTCTTGATGATTTATCGATTTATTCATCTTTAATACATAATAATTACATGAAATATTCTCAAATTTCTAAAAATCAACGTTCGTCCCATTTAATTTTGATATCCTTTCAGCCACGTTGTTTTGATTTAGTTGGTGAAGAGGAGGAGGTTGGGTGAGCGCCGGCCACTGTCGGTCACCTTACCGCTGGTGGCGGAGCTCAGGATAGAGCTGTAGACGGAAGATGGAGACATGCTTGGGCTGGCGGCAAGGATAAGAGCAGCAACTCCTGAAAAATAAAGCGAAACGAAAGTATGTGAGAGATAAACTTCAGTACCTGTCGTGCGATAAGTGTGAAATATTGTGGAAAGTTAGTGATAAAGGTATACATTGCGTAGTGCACTATTATGTATTTTGAGATCTAGAAATGCAAGGGAGTATTCCAACAATAAGGCCATCAGGTCGTAGATACCATCTGCACACGGGCGGACAATGGTCATTGATGACTTCTTTTTCTCTCACTTGATTTGTATAACACTAAGATACTGGATAGGTGCCCATAAATGTAATATAATTATTCACTTTGTACCAATGATGCATTCCATGATACACAAGCGAAATTATTTTTTTCGATAGGGTGAACCAAATTATTAATGAAGCATTCCCAACTGTATAATTAAATTGTTATTTTGGGGTAATTATCTTCACCTCCAAGTTGTAAAAGTAACAGTATTTAACAGTATTAAAGATATCATCCAGGAATCATCATCCAAGACGACATACCTGAGACGTGTGGGCAGGCCATGGAGGTACCGCTGATGGTACTGGTAGCACTGTCAGATCCCTTCCAGGCAGAGGTGATGTCAACTCCAGGTCCGAAGATGTCGAGGCAGGAGCCATAGTTGGAGAAGTAGGCACGGGCATCGGTGTCATCGGTGGCACCAACGGTCAGGGCCTGGATTTTGGGGACACCATGAATGAGACTTCGTACAAATAATGAACTAAAAATGGATAATAATTAGGTCTCCTTTACTCAGGGTAGCCACTAGACTATTAAGACTGCTCTTCCTGTGGACCATGCACTTATTATTAGCCTAGCATTTACTTCAGGTTGAAAGTGGCAAAGTGGAGTAATATCTTGCCAAATGACGTTGGTGAGATTCGAATCCTCGGCCCTTGGGTTGAGAGTCAATTCTCAATTCTCACTATACGAACACTAACGCTGGATGTGGATATAGGGAGTATTGGGAGACATTCCATGAAGAGTTGAAAGATTAGGAAACTTACATATCCAGACCTGGCTGGAGAGGTTCCGCAAGCATCTTCATCACTGTTACCAGCGGCGACAGAGACGGTGAAGCCAGCATCGTACATGCGCTTGACGGCAGCATCGGTAGTGCTGGAGGCACCACCTCCGAGAGACATGGAGACAACTGCTGGACGACGACCGTTAGATACAACCCAGTCCATTCCTGCAAAGACCGTAAACACATTTTGAAATGATAATACAAATACTAATGATTGAATTCATAAAGCGCATTCCAGAGGATACAAGGCACTGTCGCTAATTATGCTATGCATAACTTGAGAAGAACGGTAAATTTTTAATTGTTTTTTAAAAAGTAAAGTAAAGAACCTTTTCTTAGAAATAAGGTTTGTTCCATAGGCGTGGGGCAACGGAAACCAAACAGGTTATTCAAAAAGAAATTCAGGTGTTTTCCTTTGTTCCTTTCTAATTAAAAGAAAGGTATCCCTTGGATTTGGTATACATTGGTTATTTGTACTGACAAATCAGTATATATTTCTTTTAATGGGATTCAGCCCCTGACGAAATTTGTTGCCGTACACCCGCAATCATGAAGCAATTTGAATACAGTCTTTCCGATGTCAAGTTAAGAACTCTTGATACCACACTCT